ATTTTTGCCGAGAGCTATTTTTCCCACAGACTTTTGAAAAAGAGCTCCCGTGAAAACAAAGTATTTTCTCACCTGCCGCACCCACGTACATACCTCATCCATCGAGTCCTCCCCCTCCAGGTCCTCGGCGGCGATCTGCTGGTCGGTGGTCGCCTCCGGGTCGTGCAGCGCCAGGTGGCGTATCAGGTTGCCCTTGTGGCGGAACAGCTTGTGACACTCGGGGCACTCGTGCGTCTTCTCGCGCGGGATCGGCGGCACATAGTCCGGGTTGTGGTACAGGTTCTGGTGCCGCTTCAGCAGCTGCTTCTGCCGGAATGTCTGCGCGAGCGGAGAGCGAGCGGTGGTTAGCGGGCGAGCGGAGACCTACGGAAGAGACGGGGAGAGAGAGAGAGAGAGAGGGGTGACGAGGGGAGCGGGGACGAGCGAAAAGGGCCGGAAGAGGGCGAGTGAAGAAGATGCCTCAGAAAGGCGGAAAGGAAGTCTATGGCTATCGCAGATGCATCCCACGAGGCAAACGCGACGAGCAAGATTAAACGCAAGGCCACGTACGAGCGACAAGTCCACCGAGTGAGTAGGCAGACAGTCCCCCGCATATACCAAACAGAACGCGCCGCGAGAGAACGAACGCGCGCACCGTTGATTGACAGCCTACCTGGACACACTGCTCACACTGGAAGGGCTTCTGGTCCGTATGAATGAGCATGTGCGACTCAAGGTGGCGCTGCGTGAGCGACGCGTACGGGCAGAGGTCGCACTTGAAGCACTTCTCGCCGTCGTGCGTCTTCGCGTGGATCTTGTAGGCGTAGCGGTCGGGAAAGTCCTTGCCGCAGCGCTTGCACTTGATCGGGTTGTCACTAGTGTGCAGCTTCTGCAATCGACAACAAGCTCGTTGACCACGCGCCGCGAGACACGGCCACCACCCGCTTCGTGTCGGTTCTTAGAAATGCACTCAGCGTCCATCACTCGACAACTAACGCTTAACCCTTCCACCCTAGCGAAATCGACACAAACAAGCTGACCTTAATCTCACGCGACGCATGGTTACGCCCCACACGGTAGAGCGGAGGTTCACAGGGGAGGTGAGCGACGCAGAGGGAGGATTCCTTGATCGCGTTGTCACTAGTGTGCAGCTTCTGCAATCGACAACAAGCTCG